CACACACTCACACACACATAGAGGGACAAGAGTTCACAGCAAGAGATCAGGTAAGACCTGCAACTCTTTATCTAAAAGTTTCTGCATTCTTCTTATTGCTACACGGATATACTTATAAGATGAATTGACAGCTCTTGTGTCTTATAAATGAGGATGTTAAATACATTCATTCTTTCTGTCCTTTTTATCTGGTTTACTGTGTTTACCTGCTTGTTGCTCTATTAATCATTTTTTCTCACATTGTGTCATTACGTTTTAGATTTTAGTTTTCTGTTTCCTTTTTATTTGAACTCTTGTTCAATAACGTGTCTCTATCTTTAGTTTGAAATCTGTGATTGTGGATGTGAGATGTGACCTAAACCTGGCAAAACTCTACCCACTTAGCAATCAAACATTATTTAATTTTTAAATTATTGTTGTTATCTTAATTATTCTGTTATAGGCGTACCTGTTACAACTGTTGCTTAAACAACGTTTAACTTTATTTGCTCAGACACCCATGTCCTGTAAAATCTATGAAAAACATAGTTTTAATCTATAGGTGCTATGATTCAGTGAAACATGTAAATGCTAAAGCCTACAATGAACTAAAATGGCATCTTTAAATATGCTAGCTTCCAACATCCATACTAACAAGCTATCGCTAACACAAGGCTACCTTTACTTACTTTCTCAATGTTGATAATTATTAAAAATGTCATGTAGCCTATTTACAGTCTGCATTGTTTAAGAAATAGTTCAGCGTTTTGAGAAAAACTCGTATTTCCTCTGGATCAATTAATAAGATTAATACCACTTTTATGTTTTTTGAACATGAAGCCACAGCCGGTTAGCTTAGCTTAGCATAAAAGTTAAAAACTCCATGAAGTCACCGCTCCTGGTGAAGACATTTCACCTGTAAAACCACAACCTGTTGTGTACACTTACAATAACAAACAAGATAGAATGTGTCAATCAGTGAGCTTTAAACGTGCTGAGTGGACTGTCAGTCACAGAAGGTGTTTTGCCCTTGATGGCTGATGTGACACTCTCTCATTTTCTTTAAAATTGGTTAATTTGATCCTACACCTGTTTGGCATTATTGAATGAATGAGCCAACAGTTAGTCTGACTTTGGCATTGAGAGATAATCAATGTGAAGTCATTGATTTTGGCTGCTGTACAGCTTCCAACGGGTTAAATCAGTGCCAAAGTCTGAGTCTGTGTGTCTGTGTGTCTGTTTGTCTTGGTTGTAAAAAGAACACGGTGTCATTAGCTTGGCTTTGACATTCAGTTATCATCACCACGCTGATAACACAGCGTGTTATCTGACCTGCAGCACCAGATACACACACAAACACACACACAAACACACACAGTCAGAAAAAGAGCTACTGGTGCTTTTTCGCTTTTATTTAGTTTTTTTATTGTCAACCACCCGAACCTTTGCACATATGAAATGAGCTGTGAGAGCTACTATGAAATGGAGGAGACCTAAAGAGTGAGGGTGAGGGAGAGTTATGTAACGGCATTAATCTCTAATCTCTCTTACCCCCTATCTTTCAGAGGGAACAAAAAAAAGGAGCTGTGAAGGACGAGAAGTGTGTAACAGAGGACACAAGAAGTGAGAAAGATGACAATCGGCAAGAACTCCAGAAAAAGCTCTGTGCGGAGCTCCGTCCGGGCCCCAAAGTTCCTGGACAAATCCAGCGGCTTCTATGGTCGCCTTGATGAGCCTGAGGTTGCTGGAGAAGGGGAGGAGGTGAGGGGGAAAGAAGTGGAGGAGAGGTGGAGCGGGATGGAGGACAGTAGCAGAGAGGGGGGAGTTGTGAGCAACCCGAGCCCAAGCGTGGTGCACGTTTCTGGGGAAGATGAGAAGGAAGAGGTCGAGGCGTTTGACTTCAATGAAGGGATGATGGAAGATGATGGGGAGACTCTCCTCCGGAGGAAACCAAGCCGCCGCAGCAGCAGGTGGAGAAGGAGCTCCAGGAGGAAGCAGAAAGAGGGGAGAGCCGAGGAGGACGCAGCCCGAGATGAGAGGCCCAGCCTGGGCACAGAGAGTCCGGCTGGCCTGCGCGTCCTGGAGGGCACCAGGGTGACGATCGAGGTAGAGATGGAGAAAGTGAAGAAGGTGGAGGAAGAGAACGAGAAGACAGGAGGAGGGAAGGAACCCGCGCTCGTTCACTTCGCTGCTCGGGAGGATGCGGACGACCAGGTCCTGATCAGAGACAAGAAGAGGGGGAGAGAAGAGGTGGGAGAGGATGAGAGGAGGATGAAGAGGGAGCAAGAGGAGGGGATGAAGGTGGTGAAGAGGAACACGGTCAAGAATTACCGCAAGGTGAGAAAGAATAGGCAGAGAAATACAAAGTGAGAGCATTTCTATCAAAGAAAACTGTTATTAACTTCTGCTTTCCGACTCACATTTACACATATTCCATATTCGGCCCGCCTGGTTAAACTTTAAGCTCCTCGAGGTTACATAACCAGAGTTTGTGGAACAGAGGGGTAAAGTTCTCCCTCAACATCCTCCACATACTGCACATTGGGCTATTAATCACCATGGAAACTATCACCTTAATAATAGACTGCCACCAGGGTCAAGGTACAGCAGCCATTGGTGCATGTCACCAACCCGTTACGCCCCCCTTTGAAAGGGTTTTTCCTTTACGTCACGTTTAACGTTTTCACTAACAGGCTTGTAGCTGTAAAGCAGCAGCGTACGCCGTGTACCTTCGCCTGATTCACATGTTCTTGAAGATTTTCTGCTTCCACTGAGACACATGCACAGAGGTGACATTCCTGTGCCTCCCATATCATATCCTTTGATCAGTGGAACGAAGTATGGCAGTGTTGACCCGCCTACTAAGCCCACACCATAAAAACATTCCACTGCTGTTAGCCAATCAGACTCCACCCTCAGGCCTCCGAGCCTGACCTCCTGTTAGATAGAGGACGATCTCAGCTTCATGTATAATACAATACAGCGCTTGTATGTTGTGTTGAAAAAAACAGCTTCTTGTTGCTGCTCAGTTTCGCGATAGGTGATGGCTGAATATTCTTTAATGCCGTAAAATCTCCATCCACTATGGCAATAGGCTCAGAGCAGTGGTTCCCAACCAAGTCAAATCTGAGGGATCTCAGGAGGATAAGCTGTCAAGAAAGCAGAGAATAGGGGCGCCCTGGTAGCTGACCTGGTAGAGCCGAACCCCCATGTACCAAGACCATGGGTTCAATACGAACTAACCCTAAAACAGCTTTAATTTCCCTTTTTTTCTCCAATAAATACCAATAAAAACTGAACTCAAGCTCAATAAAAACTGAGCAGACTTTCCAGAAAATAGTCAACATATTTAAACAGGCCATTCCCTGGAAATAACTGTGTCATTTTACACCACCTACAGAGGCGCTGAGTTTGCATATTTCCAATGAACTGCTTGTGCAAACTGCAGAGCCTTTCAGTCGGTACACAGCAGGTCAGCTGAATATGCAAAATATGAGCGGTTCAACATATATGGAGAATAAAGTTTCAGATAACAAATAAATAGTTTAACTTGATAAGTTCCGAGTTTCATGGACACTGTTGAAATATCTTGCCTATGACTATAATCATACTCTGATAGTCATTTAAATCTGTAACTAGCTTCAATGTGACTCTCTGATCGACCTTATTTCAGATCATGTAACATGTATCGCTAAACTTTACCTTCTCGTCCCCATCAGGCCTTGGACCGTGCCTTTCGTCGCGGCTGGGAGGCCTTCATCACCAACCTTTACAGCGTCACGCTCACACCTGTGACATCATCCTCGCCGCCATCTTCACCATCGTCGTCGAAGAAGAAGCAGAAAGACAGCTCTGTGCTGGCTGAGTTTCAGTAGAACTGGAGAGCGGCATGCATCTAATATTCATATAGGCTAGATCTCTGTTTGCCCTTAGTACTGAACATTCACCATGACATTAGTGTGGAGTGGTGCATCTCACATTAATTATTTATGTTAGTTACCGAGTCTTAATTAGTCATCATAAAGTTTACTGCCTCGTCTCATCACAGTGCACATTAATTTACACACGGACTGCATGTATTCAGTTGTACTTTATGAGTGGAGGGAGCTGAGCTGTTGATTGTACATTGACGTCTGTGAGACTGGCTGAAAAGGAAAAGTCCAGTCTTCATGTGACTGAGTTCAGCTGCTCCTGGTTTTCCTCTAATATGTTGCTAATGTCAGATTTCAGTCAGTGGTGTAAGAGCGCCTTAACATCTTAGCTCCTTATATTTGGTCCACTATTAAGAGCTCAAACTCAAATAATCTTCCGTTGGTTTAGCACTATGAAACTACTGAAGTTGATGTGTGACCAACAGGAATGGAAATATTAAACCGTATAGCCAAGACTCATTAGGGGACTTTAGTTCTGCATATATTTACATTTCTTGTATGTTAATCAGTGCCATGTATTGCTGTCTGGCAGCTAATCAGTGATTGTGGTCCACTTTAACACATGTTAATATTTGTGGAGGAATTGCAGGTTTTTTTTAACCAAAGTTGACCCATTTAAGCTGTGGTTTTCTCATCTGTGTGTGCAGCTGGTCAGTGTTTGACTTCCTCATGAGACAACGACCATCTCTCACTGTGTGTTCTGGTGAAGGTTATTTAACCTGGAGGGACACCACATGAGAGAGGGTGTATGTATGTGTGTGTGTGCATTTGAAAGAGAGAGAGAGAGAGTTTTAGTGGCCTGAGACATCAGTCACTGGCACTGTAAAGGTCAAAATAATATTTAGGAACTAACTATAACTTCAGTATCAGCATGCAACAAGAAGACATGATATGAGAGATTTTTCAATGTATTAATGATTGACCCTTGTTTAAATGAATAATGCAATGTTTACAATAGGCCCGCTGTAACTTCCTGTTATCTGCTATGTATTTAGTTTTTATATTACCTCAGTGTACTCAGTAATTATTGCAGACTAGACTGAATATGTTGTAGTTGTATATAATGATTGTCTATAAAAAGTGTTCATTTTTATGGAAATCCTTTTGTATCCTAATCAAAGCTTCATGAACCGTAACAAGAAGCACTTTAAATAAAGACTTAATTTATTGTACTGGTTGTATTTTCATTTCATGTTTAGTACAGTTTCAGTATAAATACACAAATAATTTGTCTGGATTTAGCATCAGAGTTGTTGTTATGTGAATGAATCGAGTCAAGACTAACTTTATTTAGATAGCCTGAAATCACAATTAACCTCACAAGGCTTTACAAGCTGTACAACATTCAACACTACCAGACCCTTGATGTGGGTAAAAACTCCACAAATACCCTTTTACCAGGGAGAAAATGGAAGGAATCTCAAGAAGAGCCACAGAGGATGGACGACAGACAGACAGACAGATATCAAGTGCAAAGAACAACAAAATCACATTTTTACAGAGTATTTATACACACACACATTGTGATGACACAATTTCTGATACATGGAGTTTATAAAATGTGTGATTATGTGAAGAATCTGGATACAGGATGAACAGAACTTTAGATGTGGCTGAGTGAGACGTACGACCTCCTCTTCACAGTATGAAAGTAAAACACAACATCATGTGAGAACGCCATAGCAGCTGTTACCATGACCTTACAACTTTGTTTCTTCTGGTCCAGTCCTGAAGGGTCAAACTTCAGTTTCAACACTTAAAGTGTAAAGAACAACTTTACTGTGAGACCAGCGTGTTTCATCCTTCATACTACAAGTGTTGCTGAAGTTTGAACCCTTTAAGACTGCTAAAGGTGGATGACGTTGTTCCAGGAGTGCCTACTCTCTGTTTACACAAAGACCAACAAAACATAAAGATAAAACACATAAAAACATGTTCACAGCTGTTTGCAATAAAAGATCTGGGACTGATTTCAAATAATTTGCATACGACAAAGGATAAAGCTACATATAATAAGTAGCAATACAATGATTTAAGGTGTGTGTTTGTATATGTGTGTGTTCATCAAATATAAAAGATACAGGAATATAAAGAGATACAGGAATATAAAGAAAGACAACATGTGTCTCATATTACTGATAATATAATTTATTAAAGACATTTGACTAGTTTCCACCGTATTATGGTCAATAAACCTGACGTTGTTTTAGTTTCTGGTACTCTGACTTAGTGTCTCTGCCGCCATCTTGTGGACGAGAAACACACTACACTTTATAAACGGAAATGACGTAGAGCAGAAACCGTACAGTTTCTGTAAATTCATCTTTAGCTTAAAGTATAAAGTCCTCACTCAACAAACGGCGAGTTTAACCTGTATAAAACAGTTTTATTTATCAACTTTAATCTGCACAAAGCTAAATGTGGCTCATGTAAATGTTGGCGCGGTTTCCCCGGTGACGGTTTCCCGGTGGGAGGAGTTCTTCAGGCGGGACATAAAAAGGAGACGGACCAGTTCCTCCTTCCACTTCCTCCCGTCGTCTGTTCGAGGTAAGACTCATCACGTTGCTGCTGCGCTTTCATTCATCTGTGACGTTTCTGTTCCACTAGATAACGTTAGAAATAAGTTACTATGGTTACACAATAACCAGCCGTTGAGGTTTATTCTCTTAACGACTGTTTTACCGGCTCAGGGGAAGTTTACCTAGCAACCCGTGCACTGCAGCGCCGACCTCAACAGGCCACAATCCTCAGCCATCCGGCAGCCAGACTCTTTACTTTTACTTTAATTAGTTCATAAATGTAAACTACAACATGTTTACTAAATGCTGCGAGTGCTATTTGTCTTAAAACATTAGATGAACTTCAGGAAACACAGCTTTTCCAAATGGCCGCCGCTCTGCTCGTCTCTCAGTGATGATAACTTCACAGACCTGTACTGAATGACTGTGACTGCACTAATTATTCTGACGTGAGACGCTTTTAAAGGCTCGTACCTGAGCACGCGGCCACGAGTGAGCCTCAGAGGAGGTTAGCCTGTTAGCTTCATCGTGCTAACGCAATAAATGCTGTTTTCCAGATGGCGGCGGAAGATCCACGAGCTCCCCGCTGCACAGGTAACTTACTGACCCCACGTGGTTCGTCTACACTGAAAACATGCTTCAGTATTACCTGTAAACCAACTCTAGTGACACAACGTGGAGCCTCATGCTACAGTGATGTCTCATTTGAACTCTCTCACTGAAACTTATCTTGAGGAAACTTCATCTCTCAAACTCTGAGTGGCATGAAGCGCTCACACATGTGCACATCTGGACTTAACCGTGTGACTGACGTGCTCATTTTGTTCTTCCGTCCCTCAGGTGGTGGACGAGCGGGGCGATCTCCACACAAGGTGATTTATCTTCTGTTGTCTGATTGTAGTTTTGTTTATAAGCGGTGATCGGAGCTCGGTGCTGCGGTGATGATTCTGAACTCTCTCTTACTGAATCAGCCTTTGAAGATACTACTTTACCAGATTCTGAGTAGCACATGGGCTCCAGCTAAACTTGGTTAATCACAACTCTAGTTAAATGCTGCACAGTGAAACCTGTGATTTAAAATGGATCTGTGGCCGTATTTGCTGAGAATCTGTAAATCTAAACTCGTTTATTTCCCCTCAGATGTTCAAGGCTCTTCAAAGATGAAGAACAAGGATGATGGACTCTGACAGGTGAGAGAGACTGATTATATGACTTTGCATGTTCCTCATGGGCCATAACTGATGAGTCAAACAAGACAAGCATATGCCTGATTGTTGTGATGCTACATTATTAATCTGAGCAGCCCGTAAACATTTAAAACTCAGATTCCTTCCTCGGTTTATAGCTAATCGCATTGTTTTACAGGTGTCTTCACTGTTGCTGAACTCCAGAGCAGCCAGACTTCCCTCTGAGGTGAGTAAGAAACGCATTTATCCCGAGCGTGTGTTCACTAGTGGGGTATAAACATGATGATTACAATTAATGACAAGCATATGCCTGATTACAGTGATGTCAGCCTTTAATCTGATCGCCCTGAGTCAAACTAAAGCGCAGTGTTTGATTTCTGAGCGTGTGATTAACTTCCTGGTGTTTCTCTTTGTAGGTGGGAGTTTGATGGGCAGTCTGAAGGATGACACATGGAGCTATAAACACGTGAGTCTTTACACAAGTTACATTATGATAACATTATCAGAAATTCCTTCCTGAAGTGTCGATCATAACTATTTCCTAAATTTGAAATCTACAGTGTAAGTGCAATCAAAGCACCAGTCATCTGTTTATCTGACTTCAGCAGTAACGATATTTGATCCAGTTCAGTATTACATTCAAACATGAAGTCGAAGGAAAGGTTTTTCTGACTGTTTGAAAGGATGAAATGGGGTAACACCCATCAAACACCTGGACGACTAATGTCACATGGCAGTTTGTCACCAAAGCCCTGATCAAACATCCAAATCTACATATACCAGAAAGGTTATTGTTGAATTGTACTAAAGTGCCCGTTTCTCTTGCAGAACTGCTGAATGGATACTTGGAGAGGAAGCAACCATTGAAGTCTGATGGTGGGTTTTTACATTAAAGTGCATCCAAATGGTAAACGTCCTCATGGTGCAGTTCCAATGATGATTAACTTAGCTCACTTTGAACCGATGTGAAACGACACGAACTCTGAGCAACTGCATTTATTTAAACCTAATCGGTGTATTAAAGTCTGGAACATGAGTCTGTTTAATGTGCAGTAAATGAACTGTCTTCTGTCAACAGGTGACTGACCGCTTCAGCAGCACGCTCGTGGTCTTACTGAAGGTAAGATGTCGTTAAGTCACTGCAGTAACAATAGGCCTTAATCCAGACCTGCTGAAAATGATGAGATAACTTTGGAATCTCGTTCGTCTGAACTGCTGTTGAGAAATATCATATCTGATATCAGTGAAGGTCAATGTAGGACGGTTAAGACTTGTACAGTTTTGTGCTCAGACCTCATGGTGTGTAATCTGTTGCAGGTACTTTCCTCTGGACATCTGGGAGACACTTGACTCTTCTCACCATCAGAGGTGTTTTCCCAGGTGAGTGTGCTCTTTGCAAAGACTTAGGTAGACGTGTCTGTTTAAGGCTTAAGCACAGTGAAGTTCAGGGTAACAACAACCGATGTCTCATTCAGTTTCCTTCGTGATGACACCCGCACACGTCTTACGCCTTGTGTCAATGCCAGAACCTGAAAAGGTGAACCCACTGGTGTTACCTTGGCAATAAGGGGAAGACCCGTTGGGGTTACCAACAGTCTGAATGGAAACTGACTTCACATGATCGTCTAATTGTTGCTCAAAGTCATCGCATTCACTGAGATTCCTGAAGTCAAACAATCTTTAGAAACTGTACAAACACGGATATTAGACACTTGCTGTAGTGGTTGTTTGTTTTTTAAGCTGGGATGTGACTGAGGGATGCTAATCAATTCAAAGTACAACAGCAGGTTAACTGTCCACTCTTGTTTCTTTTAGTTTGACATCAAGGCTGAGCTGGGATGAGGTCATCTGTGTTGCCTGTGCTTGTTCATGGAGGTGGGTCTCTGCTCTTACAGTCACTGGTTACTAGTTGTTATGCATAAGTGATGAGTTCCTTATTACCGCCCCAGTCTGAGAATTCATGACTGATTGGTATCCCCTCTGATTACACAATAATTAAAAATGCCAGTCACACAAATCAAACTAGGTTGAGTAACCATTTTCACCTGTCACAGGTTTGGTGACACCATCTGACTCTTGAAGGCACCGACACCTGGTGGGACTACTACAGTGTAAATGTAAGTATAATGTATCTGGGATTGTGCACACTTCAGGTAGAAATTTAAAATCATCACGTTTAAATTAAATAGCTTCTCATTACAATGAGAAACTGCCTGCATGTCTTGCAGGTTTGAACCCTTTTTGGCCTTGTGTCTTTAGATTTGTGCTATTTACATTGATAAATTGCTCTTAAGCTCTCCCTGTTAATAAATACCACCTTCTTTCTCTTTAAGGTCTGGCAGCATGGGATGTCACATGGTCTTGCGTGCAAAGCTCCTGCCTGTGTTGGTGAGTACTGGACGATATTAAGGTTTCAGAATATGGAATTAAAGTTCAAAAAAATATCTGAACTCTCAAAAGCAGAAGTGATGAGTTCCTTATTACCGCCCCAGTCTGAAAATTCATGACTGATTGGTATCCCCTCTGATCACACAAGATTTAGCGCTGTCTTTAACCCAAATCAAACTGGGTGAACTAACTCTTCTCACTTGTTGCAGGTTCAGTGATGCTATCTGAAGCTGCCTCCTCAGACTGCTGCAGGTAACTAAGTTTAAAGTGATGTTTGGAAGGGTGGAAATGATGAGCACTGTGTCCAGTCAAGGGTTTTGGCTATTAGCCCTTCTTCAGTTAGTCCCGCTCTTGTTGACCCAGTATGGCACCGAGGACCCTGACATCCTACAGGTGTAAGGTGACCTGCTGGAGTTCTGATAGAGAAACTAACTGTGGTCATGACTGACAGTCAGTCTCTGATCACATATCAAGAAAAAATCCTACATTTGTACAGCTTGCCATTGGCAATTCAGTCTGCACTAGTTGTTCCCTAATTGAGCACCCTTGATGATGGATTGTGGTTTTGTTTGTTCCCAGGTCTGGCAGCTCGAAGTCATCACATGGTCTTTATCTTGTGCTCAGTTTCAACATGGTGAGAACTGGATCAACATTGAGGAACTGAAGTTCAGTAGATGTCTACTTTCTTTAGGCAGAAGTGATGAGTTCCTTATTACCGCCCCAGTCTGAGAATACATGACTGATTGGTATCCCCTCTGATCACAAGACTGAGAGCTTTAGTTTCTTCTCGGTATATGGTTACACATTTTGACAAGTGTCTTGTATTTCTAGTCTCTTCAGAGTCCAGCTGGATCTGCCTGCAGAGCTGCCTGCTGCTTTGAGTGCTTGGTAAGATCTTTTAACTGAAGCTTATTTTGAAGTGATGAGTTCCTTATTACCGCCCCAGTCTGAAGATTCATGACTGATTGGTATCCCCTCTGATCAAAACTGTATAATGTAACATTTCTAGTTTTAACAATGTTAGTTTCTGCCACTTGTTTCTAAGATGTTGTGTTTCTCTGCAGACTGTCGACTGAAGATCCATCGGCCATCTTATGCTGCAGCACGATTTCTGCAGTTTGTCTAAAGATCAAGTGGTGATTCAAAATGTCAACATACTCATGGCCACTTGATTTGCAAGGAACGGACAACTACACGCTACATCAGCCCGCTAACTGAGCACCAGGACTGCTGTGAATTCTTAAATTAACCTTTTGTAATGGCCTTTATTTCAAATAAAGTGTAGCTTCAAGTACAGTTTGCACGTCTCATATTTTATACGATGTCTCTGCCTCACAGGGTTTGGAAACTTTTAACCTTGTTTTAACTTTGGAATATATTTTGGTTTGTATTTTTGATGGGTTAAAAATTACAACTGCAATATTTCAAAGGGAAACTACTTAACGCATCCAGTGATGGTGACATGAAACACTGGTACAATGGTAAGATGTGGGTATAAAGTAATTTGGTACTTGCAATGACAAGACTTAAAATGTGAAGCTTTCAAGAGTCCGATGTGTACAAACCCAGTTCAATGTCCTCGTTAAGTTGTACGCTGCAAATGATGTGCCATTTACAGCTGCTACTCTTATTTTAATTGTTTTCCAAGGGGATTTCTCACCTAAAGCCCAAATATAAATATTAGGGAAATGGAATTCAGTTGTAAATGTTGGACACTGTGGCTCAAACGCATGGAAATGATCACAAGACTTGCTGATTAATCTGAACTGATCATTGCATTAAAGATGGAAATCAAAGCAGTGATAAATGTGGTCCATAGCTCAAATCTCCATTGTTGTACTTCAGGGGTTAGCTAGGTGATAAGATTCAGATTCTGACAACCAGCATTTCTTTTCTCCTAACCACTCATGAAGGGATTAAATTGAAAGCACTCTAGTACCTTAATGTCTTGAAGTTTAGTTGGACACAAAATACACAATTCCTTAGTTTAAACAGGTAATTTATTAAAGAACACATTTGAGTGAGGCACAAATCATCAGCTGTATCTGAAAGTAAAGGTGGGAGCCAGCCAAGTGTTCATGTCAGTCATTACATTGTAACTGTAAACAAACTTCATTTAGGTTGTGTTAATTTTATTGATTACTTGAACAAAAGCCAGGTGTGATTCCTGTAATGGATACAAACAGTCTGCATGTTGCAGCAGCTGAAGGAACAAACTAAAACAATTGGGCTCCTTTTTTGATCTACGTAGTCCATCAATGAGCCTGGAATCATGTCGGAGTTTAAGCATGAGAGGCTGCTGTTAAAAAAAAAAAACTCAGTCAGTGGTGAAAATTCTTGCAGCAATATCATCTAACAGCCAGTCCACCCCAGCTAACAAATTCTCTCCCGTTACTGCGCTGCAACCAATGATACACCAGTGATGAGTTTTGATCTCATCCAGGGCCAGCGCCTGCAGGAAGAACACAGTGAGAACATGTATGAATTCACACTAATCCAACTCAACAACAACGATGTCACTGTTGTGTATAAATCTCACATCTCGTATGGCCTCTTTCGACAGTGCTCCTGGTAAGTCCTGTTTGTTTGCAAACACCAGCAGCGTTGCACCAGCTAACCTCTGCGTGGAGAAAGAACACACTGGACTATAGAGATTGATATAATAATGACAGTTATTACACAGAAGAAGAAGACTATTTTACTGTTATCCCTTATATGTGTGTGTGTGTGTGTGTGTACCTCCTCCAGCAGCAGCGAACTGAGCTCCTGCTTGCAGTCCTCCAGTCTCAGTCTGTCAGCGCTGTCCACCACCCACACCAGCCCGTCTGTGCTCTCAAAGTAGTTCCTCCAGTAGGAGCGCAGGGACTTCTGACCCCCAACATCCCAGATATTCAACTTAAAGCTACAAAACACAGAAAGAGGATCACAAGGTGCAAGGTGAACACTGACAGTGAGAAATCTGTGTCTATAGAGTATTGTATTAAGGTTTGATTTGGTTGGCTGTAGGATATATTGGCCTTTATAACTGGGTTACTGTGTAAATCAGGTGAGCGATTTTGAGCTGTGAGTTACACCGGTATGTTTGTGAGTGAATGAGAGGAAAAGTGCCTGAGAAATTGTGCTAAGCTACAGCCTCTTTCACAGCAGACCCTGAAACTGAAGCAGCTAAATGGAATTCAGCCCTCAGTCACTATCAGACCTGTGCTTCTCCTACAGTGACAAAGAATGTGGCTGTATACATACTGCCATTACCAGCAGGCTGTAGCACTGACTGCATCACATGACTTTATCAATGACAACATTACTGGTCTGAGGTTAGACGCAGTGCATTCTGGGGTGTTTGAATATGTCCTGTAAACTCACACTGCTAATCTAGTCTACATCAGGGGATTGCTCGCGTAGACACAATCCACTCACTGTGCAGCTGGAACCGCTATATACTACAATTGATGTTAGACCTAATATGAATAATGTTAGTAATAATGTCCGAACACAGCCTTGTCTGAATGTTTTCAATGAAAATGGCCTACTGAAAAAGGAAATACTACATGTGTACATAATCAAGGTTCTTGTATTTTATGAGTATTTCCAGTATTTATTTATTGTTATAACTCTACGGCACTACAACCGAGGCATATACTGTACTTTTTACTCAAATTACAATTTCTTCTACCCTTCCTGTCCAGTGAAAACCATGTATCTACAAATGTGGTACTTTTGAATTCAAATATTTCTGTTAGGTGTTCATTTATAGGCCGAGAACATTCTCCCTCGTCTTAAGATAAATAAACTATTGAACAGATCTTGAATTAGCCATAAAATGCATTTTCACAAAGCTCATAAAAAGTTGACTTTGATTAAACTACCCAACAGTATATAAAGTATTAGTTCCACCTTAAACATCCTCAGCAGTACAATGCAACATGAACACTGGAATATTAATCCAAAACCTCAAATATAAAAGTAAAACACAGACCGGAAACATTTTACTCCCACATTTATAAAATACTTTAAGATACTTAAACTTAATTAAACTTTTAAGTGCAGGACTTTTGCTTGTAGTGGAGTTTTTTCACAATGTGGCATTAATACTTTAACTTATTTAAATATTCATACCATCATCAAATATGTGGAAGACAAAATGTGTGTGTGTCATATAATTCAGGTCAAAGCCAAAACATACTGTGTGTGTGTGTGTATATATGTGTGTGTTTGTTTGTGTGTGTGTTTGTGTGAATGTATGTGTGTGTGTATATATGTGTGTATGTATGTGTGTGTGTGTGTATATATGTGTGTATATATGTGTGTGTGTATATATGTGTGTGTGTATGTATGTATGTGTGTGTATATATGTGTGTGTGTATGTATGTGTGTGTATATATGTATGTGTGTGTGTGTGCGTGTGTATATGTGTATGTATATGTGTATATGCGTGCGTGTGAGTGTGTATGCATATGTATGTGTGTATCTATGTGTGTGTGTGTATGCATGTGTGTGTGTATCTATGTGTATGTGTGTGTGTGTGTGTGTATCTATGTGTGTGTGTGTATGAATGTGTGTGTGTGTGTTTGTGTGTGTGCGCGTGTATGCGTGTGTGTGTGTGTATATATGTGTGTGTGTATGCATGTGTGTGTATATATGCGTGCGTGTGTGTGTGCATGTGTATATGTGTTTGTTTGTTTGTTTGTGTGTATATGTGTGTTTGTGTGTGTGTGTATGCATGTTTGTGTG